GTCGTTCAATTTACATAGCTCTCTCTGAACTCACAGTGTCCTGAAATATTAGTGTGGACTAATGGCGTTCACCGATTTAGACTGGTCGAAAAATCTTTAGTGTGATTGAAAAATCCGAGTTCGTATTTAGCGGCATTTTTTTCCTGCGTGGCGTGTCGCGTTTTGGTGACCACATTCGTTGTAAAAGAATTGTAAATGTTCAATTTGTCTATTATGCTTCGGCTTTTTTAATCGATAAAAACTGAATGAGAAATTATTCTTGCCCACTATCAACTTATTTAACAATTATATCCGTTGCGATCTCAATTTTGTTAATAGATTGACAATTCAGCGCTCGTTTAAGGTATGAATGTTTAGCCCAAAATAATGTGATATGGATGTCAAATTGACTAAATACTACCAAATAAAACTTAATCATAAAGTGTCAAATCGTAACATAACTTAACTGCAACATACGTGCCAACTCGATCTTTTAAGAGTTAATTTGGCTCCGAAAATGTGTGTATAGAATTATTGTGTTCTGCATTCCAGTACGCTGACCAAACCTCGCATTCAAGAGACGCCTCGTTCGCTTCTCACAACCAAAGAGCTCCACATAGATCCCTCTCTCTGGAGATACAATGATCTCGTAGAAAGTTCCTACGCAGATCTCTGTTTTTGTCTCAGCGTACGTGACAAATATTCTGACGCTCATAACGCATCTCACTATTAGTATCATTTTAAGCCTTCGTAACCCTGATGCCGCGTTTATCAGTTATGGATACGGGCTAGGGCTCTCTTGGCAGATAAACGATCTGTTTACTTGAAAAGTTCACTTTAGAAATAATCCTCGTGTACATCAAAGAGTTTATCAGATGAACTAGTTATTTTGGTTCAATGTGAGGGCATTGAATATATGCGCGGCGGCGCAAAAGCACACTTGAGGTACCGTGGGGCATCAATAAACATGCACAAGGGAGTGAGGCTATGCGTTGTAGTAACTAAGAGTAAGGAGGGGCTGTGGTGATGTAATTCTCGCGGCAACCAAAGAATGATAGGTTTCATGGTCTTAGCCTAGTTATTAATGCTGGTAATCAGAATAGACTCCTGTGCCAACCAAAGACTATCGTGTTTCATGGTTTTTTCCCGTTATTATTGCTTGTAATAAAAGAGCTAGCGCTTGATTGCAGAAGCACGTACCTGCCGCGGCTGTAGGTACAGTGCATGCACTTCATTAATAATATGCTAGACTTAGGCATGGCACTTGCTTGTAGGCCATACAACTTATTTCTGCTTGCGATCAATCTTCGAAACCTTGGGAGGCTTACAATTTCCCTGCTCTCATGTGCTATTACAACGGCGTTTAATTCTAATGATGGTGTCATGTGAGACTTCCACTCCAGGTTGACGTCCTCTAGTGGTCATCACTCAGGTTTGGCAGAATATAATAGCATTTTATAAATAATATAATAGCAGAATATAATAGCGCAGGCATTTTTTATGTTTACTCAAACGTCGGAACCCCGCAATACATGCTTTGTAAGCAGCTGATGCCAGGTGCAGCCGCGCCAGGTACATGTTTGCTAGGTGCAGTCATGTCAATGCAACTATGCTAGGTGCCGGTAGGTGTCTGGGTTTCCGAAAAAAAGTTGTGCGTTGTCTGAGGAAGAGTCTAATCGCGAGGCGTAATTAAGGGGCATTTTGACGACGATTAGGTGGTGCTTCCTCTCTGCGTCAATTTTGCGGTGCTTTCCTTGCGTCGTCCCTGAGGTGGTTTTCCTGCGTCGTTATTGCGGCGATTCCCCTGCGCCGTACCTGTGGTGATTTCTCTGTGTTGTCCTTGCAATGGTTTCTCTGCGTCATCTCTGCGGTGGTTTCTCTGTTCTGTCCTTGCGGCGGTTTACCTGCGTCGTCATTACGCTGTTTTCTCTGCATCGTCCTTGCTGTGTTTTCGCCGGGTGTTCTCAGCCTCCACTTAAACTTGCTTAAGGTAAGAGTGGCCAAACTGCATCTGGCCTAATCTCTTCCGGCCGAACCTCTTCTGGCATAACCTACGCAAGTTGCAACATTTCTTCCCCAAAAACAAAGCTGAGAGGACCTAACCCAACCTCGTTGGCTGCTGGAAGTTAGAAAAGCGGTTCAAGTGAACCGGTAAAGCCAGCCATTGATTGCAAGAAGATTGTGAGAAAGAAGGTTGTGAATACTGAATAGGTTAGCCAGAAGAGGTTAGGCCAGAGTAGGTACAGCCAAACGCGAATGTGCGTGCTTGTGAGCGAGTTTTTTTTTGGTTGAAGACCTACGACGTTATTATCTTTGAGCGGTGTGCCACTGGTCTAGATTACGGTGTTCCAGCGTATTCTGTTTCTTCTAGTTCAGTGGCTGAGTAAAGTTATTCCATGCTAAGGCTAGGCGTTAGCTTCAAGTCTTATTTACAATGGTTTCTCTGCGTCATACCTACGATGGTTTCTCTGTTCTGTCCTTGCAGCGGTTTACCTGTGTCATCATTGCGCTGTTTTCTCTGCGTCGTCCTTGCTGTGTTTTCGTCGGGTGTCCCCAGCCACTACTTATAGTTGCTAAAGATAAGCGTGGCCAAACTGCATCTCGCCTAATCTCTTCCGGCGGAACCTCTTCTGGCATAACCTACGCAAGTTGCAACATTTCTTCCTCAAAAACAAAGCTGAGAGGACCTAACCCAACCTCATTGGCTGCTGGAAGTTAGAAAACCGGTAAAGCCAGCCATTGATTGCAAGAAGATTGTGAGAAAGAAGGTTGTGAATACTGAATAGGTTAGCCAGAAGGGGTTATGCCATAGTAGGTGCAGCCAAACGCGTATGTGCATGCGTGCTTGTGAGCGACAGCGAGCATGCGTAAGTTTTGGCTGAAGATCTACGACGTTATTATCTTTGAGCGGTGTGGCACTGGTCTGGATTACGGTGTTCCAGCGTATTCTGTTTCTTCTAGTTCAGTGGCTGAGTAAAGTTATTCCATGCTAAGGCTAGGCGTTAGCTTCAAGTCTTATTTATGAGTTAAACTTGTGGCCTACGACTACACCCCTGGTCACCAGAAAATCTAGAATCCTACCCACCATGTATGAGTAGAATTTCAAGCTGCCAAATCAAGTATTACAATTCTAGTCAGTTACGAGTACTAGCTTAGGTTATGTTAACCGTAGTTAGCTAGAAGTATTATTACTGAAGCTTTAATTACCACCACTTATTAAGTAATGATTTTGATTATTATTCCTTATTATCTATAGATTTATGAGATAATGTTAAGATAGTCGAGCAATAAAACGAATTTATCTTCCTAACTTTTAACTATGAAGACCGAAATAATAAATTCTTGCTTTAATTAATGACTTTTCTTTTCCTAACCCGCGCAGAGTATCATTTTTTGTCCATCCTACTGTACAATGATGAATGACGTGTCGTGGCAACTATTGGATGATGAACAGGATGACGCTGCGCGACTATAACTCATCATGTGACTATAACTCATCGTGTGACTATAACTCATCGTGTGACTATAACTCATCATGTAACTATAACTCATCGTGTGACTTTAATTAATCGTGTGACTATAACTCATCGTGTGACTATAACTCATCGCACTCCAATCTCTGTTGATAGGGTGGAAATCACATAAGATATTTTATCGTTCTTTTTACTAATAAAATGTAATTCATTTTAAAGCGCTAATCTGATGAAAATCACACCTGAGCCGCCGTACGACATGCCGGCACCTGAGCCGCCGTACGACATGCTGGCACCTGAGCCGCCGTACGACATGCCGGCACCTGAGCTGCCGTACGACATGCCGGCACCTGAGCCGCCGTACGACATGTGAGATTCAGGACGCAGTTGGGGTTGTGCACATCTGGACGGAGTACGTCTGGAGGGAATACGTCTAGGGAGCAGAAACACAATGGGAGTACGTCTGGAAAAAGTTCATTAAAGGCAGTACTTCTGAGGAGAGTACCTTAAGTGTAGTACGTCTTGAGGGAGTACCTATAAATAGGAGAACGTCTGGAAAGAGTACCTTAAGAGAAGTACGTCTGGAGGGAGTAGTTTAAGGGGAGTACGTCTCGGGGAGTACCTTTTGGAGAGTACGTCTGGGTAATTAGGTGCGGAGGGGATTTGTGAAAGAAAGACTGCAGCATCTGTGATGATGACAACTGCCGTAAGGATTTTGATTTTTGTCTCGTATACCTTTGCCGTAGCAACGCTGGAGTCCTGCAACGTGATAACTCATCGCACCCGTTCACTGTGTCAGATCACAATCAAGGATTGATGAGGCTTAATTGCCTCATCATCCTCAAGGAATTCAAGTTCCAGTGCCTCACCATCACTGGGAAGGGGAATTTAGTGTTCAATCTGAGGTCTTCTTTTATACTGACAGGATCAAGAGTCCCGCCGGTTCTTTGCTGTTCGATTGTTGCAGAAGTCAGGGAAGATATCTGACGGTTTTGTTGCAGTCTCCGCGTTGTTGTTGTCGATGTCGTTGACAGTTCTAGACCTGAGTCGCCGACACACACCTCCTGAACCTGCAGCAGGATAGTCAGCCGACCTGTATTCTCGGGGTGCAGGTTGCCGTCTCGCCTCGGCAAACTCGGCTGAAGCTGAAGGCCGACCAACCAACTTTATTGCCCTTCCTTCTCCAAACAAAGGAAGTTCCTCCAAACTGATAGGGAAAGAGTTCTGCCTCGCGCCAAAATCTAAAGTAATTTTATCACGTCGCGACGCAGTTTTTAAAGACGCTTGATATAAGCTGTTGGAGGTTAAGTGGTCGTTATCAAACCGCCAGTTTTGCGGGGATGGGGGCTTGTTCTTGCCTACGCCTGCCCCCCGCCTTCTGGTGGCCGCCGTCTCAGGCAGGGCGACGGTAGAAGTCAGGATGGCGTCCTCAAGCTCAAGGTCCAAAATACGAAATGAAAGCTCGGTCCTGCCTGGAGCCTTTCCTGGTGGGCTTCTTGTGGTCGCGTCTGGTTTGGCCGGGAGGGAAACAACGGATGTTGTTGCAACCGTGATGGTAGTAGTTGCTGCTGTGATGGTAGTAGTTGTGATGGATGCCGTTGTTTTTGTTGTTGCTGGTCTGACGTCATACGAAAGGGAAGTTCGGGACAGGAGAGGAGCCGCGCGATGAGTCTGACTGGGAAAAGGATGATCAGGATACGAGACGTAGGATCAGTAAATCAACTAGCATGTAATTATCATACTCACTAGTGCATTGACTTCACTAGTGCACTAGGATGCACTAAAATTACAATATGTGCGGGCAAATAAACCAAACAAGTGATACGTCTTGTCACTAAAGATAACATGGCAGAAGATTGCGTTGTTAACAAATTCTCTAAGCATAAATTAGGCGCAATTAAATGGAAACTAAAACATGGATGACATTTGACTTTCTTAACTGACATCTGGGACGGCATGAGACGTTCCTAACTTATTTTTGGACGGCATGAGACGTTCCTAACTTATTTCTGGACTATTTTTTACTTTTCCAACGTATTACACTTAAAAATTAGCAGGAATAACAATAAACTATTTTTAAACAACAAGTAAACGTAAAACGAGTAGCGGATGAAAGTCTGGTATCACTGCGCTCACTAGAACGTATCCTTCCTTTATGGGAAGTAGGCTTGTGACAATATTGCTTCGGTTACTCGTGTCAGGACTCAGGCGGTAGAGGGTTAGCTGCTCGTACTTAACTGTTAATTAACTGTTCGTACTTAACTGCTTGATAATTGCTCGTACTTTACTGCATATTAATTGCTCTTACTCTACTGCTTATTAGCTGCTCGCACTTATCTGCTTATCAACTGCTCGTAATTAACTGTTTATTAACTGCTGGTATTTAACTACTAATTAACTGCTTCACGTTCCTAACTTATTTCTGGACTATTTTTTACTTTTCCAACGTATTACACTTAAAAATTAGCAGGAATAACAATAAAATGTTTCTAAACAACAAGTAAACGTGAAACCAGTAGCGGACGAAAGTCTGGTATCATTGTTAGAAATTGTGCTTAGTTACTTTAGGTTCCAGTAACGTCGCAGACTTGCATTGCAGCGTGAACTGTTAATTAACCCTCTATAACCGCATGTCACTTTCCGGAAACATTACTTTCAACTTAAATTATACGTAAACTATTGAGTGTAGCAACCTGAGGAAGTTTGTATGCAACAGAGAACATTTTAAAGTTGTTTTACGTGGCGGCAACCATCAGTGCAAGTCATTTTGCGCTCACTAGAACGTATCCTTTTTGGTAAACAGGCTTGTGACAATATTGCTTCGGTTACTCGTGTCAGGACTCAGGCGGTAGAGGGTTAGCTGCTCGTACTTAACTGTTGATTAACTGCTCGTACTTAACTGCTTATTAACTGCTCGTACTCATCTGCTTATTAACTGCTCGTACTTAACTGCTTAATAATTGCTCGTACTGTACTGCATATTAATTGCTCGTTCTTTACTGCTTATTAGCTGCTCGCACTTATCTGCTTATCAACTGCTCGTAATTAACTGAATTAACTGCTGGTATTTAACTACTAATTAACTGCTTCTCATTAACTGTCCCTCTGTCTCGCAATTCAAGAAAACTTAGAAGCTCTGCAAGCGAAACAAAGCTGCATGAGAAAACGAAGCAAGGAAGGCAGGCTAAAGAGAGAGAAGCGGCTGAAGAGCTTCATTAAAGAAGGACTGAAGAGTAGCAGAGGGCCTTCACTAAACAGGGAGTGAAGAGCAGCGGAGGCGCTTCATTAAAGAGGGAGTGAAGAGTAGCAGAGGCGCTTCATTTTATAGAGGAAGTGAAGAGCAACGGAGGAGTTTCATGCGATGAGGGAGTGAAGAGCAGCAGAAGAGCTTCGTGTAAAAAGGAAGTGAAGAGCAGCGAAAGAGCTTCATGAGAAGAGGAAGTAAAGAGACAGCGGAGGCTCTTCATTTATAGAGGAAGTGAAGAGCAGCGGAGGAGCTTCATGCGAAGAGGAAGTAAAGAGACAGGCTTCGCTGTTGAGGAGTCTCCTGAAAGTGAATTATTGGTGAGAAGCTTATAGGTCAGCAAACTGAACGTAGTAGTTATACTGGACCGAATTTATTTTCAGAAAACATGGCAAATCACAAGAGGCTCCGTGGACAAGAAACGTTCACGTTGCTCTCACAACACTTGCAGAGCTCACGAGGCCGACATCATCACAAGAGTCTCAAAGCTTACAAAATTGGACTATATTCTACGTTGGTTGTATTTATTATGTGTGAGTGGCAGGTTTTAGCGGTAGAATAGTTAGTTGTTGCCTTGTTGGTGTGGGAGGAGGTGAAGTATCAGAAATGAATGGACTTGCGACGATCTTAACTAGTTATAATGGAAGTTACGACGAACGTAAATAGTTCGAACGAACATACAACGATCTTAATTAGTGGCAGAGCATGAACGGTCTACTCACCGATGAGCTGCGCGGTTGTGCCGCCAGTGACGGCATCGGCGGCCGCCGCGGCAGCCCGCCGTCGCCGAAGCCGCCGTTCGGCGCCGGCGAGTCTGCGCAGAATCTGCGGCCGCTCTTGAGAGGACTGCCGGCCCCACCCCCCACCACTGCGGGCGTTGGATAGTGAGCGTCTTTACGACTAAACAGTGACTGTTGCGAGGTCGTAATACTGGATGACTAACGACTATTGTACCAACACAATACCAGCTGAATAGTTACAATTGTTACAACACAATTCTCGCTGAATAGTGACTACGGCTGCAACACAGAACTTGCTGGTAAATGAATATCGTAGCTATACTACATTTGCAGAGAAGATTAAAATCTTACTGGAGTATTAAATCAGCATGCCCTGACGTATTAAGAACGATCCACAGATAGAAACAGCGTTTACGGCCGGAAACGATTGGTTGGGAAAAACAGCCGTACTCACCGCCGGGCACGTTGGGCAGCGACAGGTCGTCTGTGCCGTACTTGATCTTCCCGCCGCTGTTGGTCTCCACTTTGGACCTTCGCAGCCCGGAGTTTAAGGTCTCCTGTTTTAGAGTCCTGCTAATTTCCCTCGAGTTATCCTTGATTTCCCTTAAAGGATCCCTTGAGAGACGATCTCTGGCAAGCTGTTCTCGGGCCAAGAGGTCCCTTGAGGGAGTGTGGAAGTCCTTTTGGCTCAGGGTGTCCATGGGCTTGCTGATTAGATCCCGTGAGTTGTCTAGACTTATGGTGTATGGATGACGCTGGAACTCGAAGGGGTGTTGCCGCACGGATGAGGTGTATGAGGTAGAAGGGGGTGGTAAGCCCGCTGTCTCGTGGAGTAAAAGTGACAAGTTGAATTCATCATCATCTGGGGTGGAGTTTGAACGCAGAGCTCGAGTTTCCACCGTGTGGGGCAAGGTTGAAGTTGAAGACGATGATGGATACTTCGGCTTGATGCTGCTGCCCCAGAGATTTAGAGGTGACTTGGTGCCTCGATCGGAGCTTCTGCAATGTTGAAGTTAACAGGAATGATCAATTATTAATGAGGCTGTCGCTATTGGTGTAACTGATATTGAGGATTAGTCAACATCACTTCGACGATCTTATTTTAGCAAGAATTGTGTACTCTCTTCAGTGTTTAATGTTTAAACGCTATACAAAGTAAATAAATGTACAAACACGCACTATTAAAGAACTAAATGAACAGCTTTTTGATTAGCTGCTTCATAATTGCTAGTTTAATAATATAAAAATTTGACTCTGGATTGTCGTGACTCACTTTGAAGGGGAGCTGTAGGCATTGGTCTGCATGCCAAAGTAACTTGGTTTGGTCGGTGACCCTGTGGAAGAATTGCCGTGTCTCGAGTGCTGACTTGAAGTGCCGACACTTGATAGGTTCAGGAAGGATACAGAATTAGGAAAAGTTGTAGAAAAACTTGAGCCTGAGTAGTTGGAGGTGGAAGCATCCCTGACGGGGGGCATCGTGGTGAACGGTAGGCTTGGAGGGCCGTCCTCGAGGTTGATCCCTCGTCTCTCTGAGAAATTGGTCCCGTAGGACAGACCTGATCTGTTCACCGAGCTGGGCCCTTGAGCAGGAGCCGGAGGCATCTTCACTGATGCCCGGCTGTTCAACGACAAAAAATTATTCATATGTATCGGTAGACGGAAGGAGCAGGTAGACCAGCTCTAACTTCCGGAAACCGCAAGATATAACCAATTTATTCAACGATTTCAAACATGTCGGTAAAGTTATATATGACTTTTTCATTGTACGGGTATTATCTTCCTTGCAACGCAAGTTTTTAGATCTGAACATCGTTTCAACCTCTAGCTAACTTGAGGTCAAACGATCAGCATTTGACCTTGAGTGAGTGATAAACAACCTCAATGCTAAACTCTCGGCAATTCTAACTTCGCTCGAAGCTCTGTGCAACTTCAGATTTAGTTAGCCGTTTAGCCGGACCAAATCTAACCCCATGGGAATATCCGTTCTAATCTCATGGCGACCCCCAGTTCTAACCTTAAAACAACACCAGTTCTAACTCACAACAAAACCAGTTCTAACCTAATAACAACACAATGTATTTCTAACCTCATGACACCAGTTCTAACTTCATGACGCCAGTTCTAACCTCATGACGCCAGTTCTAACCTCATGACGCCAGTTCTAACCTCATGACGCCAGTTCTAACCTAAAAACGCCAGTTCTAACCTCATGACGCCAGTTCTAACATCATGACGCCAGTTCTAACCTAATGACGCCAGTTCTAACCTCATGACGCCAGTTCTATCCTCATGACACCAGTTCTAACCTTTTGCTGAGATCAGTTTTGGCAGGCGGGTTGGCGAGGCTCTTCCCATAGATGGCCTCGGGACTCAGCATGGCCTCCTGCGCCTTCTTGGCTCGCTTGTAGGCGCCCCCGGAGCCTCGACGCCCATCCTTGCAGAGCAAGGCGTTTCCGTTAAACTCCTGGTGCACCTTCTGCCTCAGCTCCGGCAGGAAAGTGTCAGGGAAAGAGTCGTGCAGGAAGAAATCGTGAGCGAGCAAAGCCTGCGCTGAAGGTCGGTTAGTTGGGACCAGATTCAGACACGCTTTGATGAACTCCTGGGCCCGGGGAGACCAGTTGGGGTAGGTGCTGGACAAGGGGGTAGATGCCCCCGCGGGCAGATGGAGTCCCGACATCATCGGGTTCTTCTCCACCAGAGTTTGGTGGTGGGCGCTCAGTTCTCCTGTAGGGTCAGAAATCGTAACCAAACATCAAGGAAACACCATTAGGCCTTGGAACGAGATACACGAAATATTGATATCTCATGCGTAGTGCTACAATTTTGATATTGTCATAGAGCCGTAATGGCATGGCATGACCCCGAGCCTCGCTTAGTGAGACGGAGTCAAGAAGAGTCAAGTCATCGAACATGTGAAATTGTAATTTTAAGATTGACGTACATGTTGGCACATATGAATGGTAATGTTTAAAGTTGAATAACGTATTGGTTAGCACATATTAAATTATTTCTATGTTTAAAGGACTCTGTGAAAATGAAATAGAATTGAACTACGAACATTTAATAAGATTTGGTAAGTATTGAAGTACAATGTGAAAATATTTATTGAATGATGTGGAAGGCTTTATCAGGGGCTGACCGAGGGCTTGGATGATGTGGAAAAGTTGGTCGATGTCGGACTCGCCGGGGAAGAGGGGATCTGCAGTCAACATCTCTGCCAGCAGGCAACCCACGGCCCACACGTCCACTTCCCTGTCAACAGTTGCCATGTTAATGCATAGCAGGCAACCCACGGCCCACACGTCCACCTCTCTGTTAAAAATTGCCATGTTAATGCATAGCAGGCAACCCACGGCCTCCACGTCCACCTCCCTGTCAATAGTTGCCATGTTAATGCACAGCAGGCAACCCACGGCCCACACGTCCACTTCCCTGTCAAAAATTGCCATGTAGCCACGTAGTCGGTGAAGGCCTCCCCGGGGTTGGCGACGAGGCGCGCGAAGCCGAAGTCGCAGAGCTTGACGACGCCCAGACGCGACACCAGGACGTTCTCGGGCTTCACGTCGCGGTGGATGATCTGCCAGGGTATGCGGGGCTTCGTGCATTAACTTATTTCTTGTTATAAATTATGTAAGAATTACATTCACTGTCATATGATTATACATGTAATAGAGAAATTATAATAAATCTCTGTTGTTCGCTGATAAAGATTCAAGTACGATGGCATGGTTATGACCTTCAACTTTGTGGGCGCCTCGCACCAGCACCTGTGAGTTGTGTGCCCTGGTGCCCCACCTGGTTGTCTCGACTCACCTGGTTGCGGCGACCCACCTGGCTGCGGTGACCCACCTGGTTGTGGTAACCCACCTGGTTGTGGTGACCCACCTTGTTGCGCTGACCCACCTGGTTGTCTCGACCCACATGGTTGCGGTGACCCACCTGGTTGCGGCGACCCACATGGTTGCGGTGACCCACCTGGTTGTGGTGGCAGAAGGCGATGCCCCGCAGCACCTGGAAGATGTGGGCCCTGGCGACGGCCTCGCTGAGCCCCCCGTCGGCCGCGTCTATCTCGTCCAGCACGGTGTGGTCGACGTACTCGAACACGAGGTACAGACGACGCTTGCGCCGGAAAAACTCGATCAGGTTGATCAGGTTCTCGTGACGCAAACGCTGTTGGGGCACATTGTAATGAGTGCAGGAAATACTGTAAGTACAGGTGCCGAGACACTCGTATCTCATTAGCACAATGCTTTACAATACGTTTTACTTATACACAGCGGATAACATATATCACGAGAAGAATTTTTTATCAACGGAGTTTGGTGTTTACGGATAAGGGGTTCGGAGTAAATTAAATGACCCACTTCCGGCAAAGATGACCCACTTCGAGCCAGGATGAATGGCACAGCAAGCCTGAGACCCACTTGGACCCAGTAAGACCCGTTTCGGGCAATGGTGACCCACCTTGAGCATGCGCACTTCGCGCAGCGCGATCTTCTTGACCTGCGGGTCATCCTCGCCCTCCAGGAACTTCTTAACGGCGACGAGCTGCCCTGTCTCGCGGTGCCGACACTTCAGCACCACGCCGTACGAACCCTCGCCCACGATGCCCAAGTTCTCGTACCTCTCCATTGGTCTGAAAACAATGATATAATAATGGTGATAACTATGAATACTTCACCACCAAGCCGTAAGACCCCTTCGCTTACGATGCCCAAGTTCTCGTACCTCTCTACCGGCCTGAAAAAATGGTAAAATAACGGCGATAACTATATGAACACTTCGGAACCAAGCCGTACGACCCTTTCACCTACGATGTTCAAGTTCTCATACCTCTCCACCGGCCTGAAATCAATGCGTAAATAATAATGTAGAACGAATCATGAAATAAGTTGCTCTCTGCATTGCTATTCAGAAAATTGTTTATTATTAATAGTTTATTAACATCAATTTGTAAGCACAGTAACTGCAAATGGTCACTGGAACTGAATTCTGCTAGCGAGAAATGCCGTTATTATCTCATCCCTTGGCCTACCGCTAAATTCAAAACATTTAGCAAAAAGAATTGAGAGTTTGATTATTGTAGTAATCAGGGAGCAGTCTGACGCGTTCAGAAGGCAGTGTGACGCGTTCAGAGGGCTGTGTGACGCGTTCAGGGCGCCGCTTGACGGGTTCAGAGGGCAGCATGGACGGATTCAAGAGGATGCTTGGACGGGTTCAGGGGACAGATGAGTAGGCGACAGATTTGGTGGATCTGGCAGACGTTCAGAGCAAGAGAAGCGGGAAAACACTCTTTAGAGCCCCTGCAATACCTATACTTGAATACTGCTGCCAGCTCTGGACCCCGTTCACACTCGCCGTGGTGCGGCAACTGGAAAGGGACCAATGAACCTTATCTTCCAGGATCAGAGGGATAGAGGAGTTGAACTACTGGAAGAGGTTGAAGCGCCTGGGTCTGTACTCACTACAGAGGAGACGGGAGAGGTATGTCATTCTGTCTACATGGAAAGTACGTGATAACCGGAATGGCACCAAAGCAAGAGCGAGTCCGAGAGCGAGACCTCCAGGATTGAGACTCATCACAACGCGAGAAGGGGGAGACTGTGCAAGGTCCCCCCACTACGTAACAGATCTGCAGTCAGATTTCAATCCCTGCGGGAAGGATCCCTTTCCGTCGCAGGACTGAGGCTGTTTAACGTCCTACCAAAGGATCTGAGAGAGTAAGAGTTCACCCTGGAGAACTTCAAGAGACAACTGGACGTGTTCATGGGCACAATTCCTGATCGACCTCCCCTGCAACACTACCAGCGGCGAGCAGCAAGCAACAGCATTGTGCATCAGCTGGCCCAAATGAGGGCGGATGAACGATAGTTAGAAGTGGCGATCCATCGTGGAATGGCACTGCTACGTCCGAAACAAATACATATACAAATACCGAAACAAATACAAATAGGCGGATTCAGGAGCAGCATGGACGGGTTCAGAGGGTAACGTGGATGGGTTCATGGGTTTGCGTGGTCAGTTTCAGCGGGCAGAGTGGACGGGCTCAGTGGACGAGCTCAGTGGGCGGGCCGTGCCGTGACATGCAACAGTCACGCGGCTGTTCGCGGCGTCCATCAAATTTTGAATCGATCCGCAACGGGCGCTTCATGCCATATGTGTCCAGCGGCCGCCCCTCAGACGGCCATCCGCCGGCCATCTTTCATGCAGCCCTCAGATGCACAGCAGCACAGGCGACGCACAGCAGCACAGGCGATGCAGGCTGACATTCATCAGACGGTCGATAACGCGTGACTCACTACACAGGCTGTGTGGCCTTTCCTGTGCAATGCGTGTGTTGTGTTGTGTGTGTGTGTGTTGTGTAATGTGTATGCGTGTAATACCGTGTGATGTACATGGCGTGTGGTGTCATACCTACCCATAATGCATTAAATCAAAGATTGAAGCAAAGTCGATAATATTTAAATTCAATTGTGAAAAGATTGTTTCTGTGTTTGTGTTTTGTGCCACAATATACTGGGGCTAGTTGTGTGAGCGCGTATCCAGGATACCTGCCATGCCGGGGCCCAAAATTTTATTATCGGGGGTTTGGATCCCTAACCCCCCCCCCCCGTGGGGAAGGTTTCAAACAAGAGGTGCGGTTGAAAATTGCGTTTTCGTTCAAAGATCTATATCAAATTTAAGAAATGAACCAGAACTTATTTTGAAATGTAAGTTTCGATGAGGTTTATATAAATATTTATTTATATCTATGTTTAAATCCCCAATGTAAACTAACTAAATTCGAAAAATAAAACAGGCGAGATAACGCGAGTCTTAAATCTTATTGCCTATCCTGAGCAACGTTAGGATCGCCGTCTAAAATTAAATGAAATTTAAATTTAATTAAATGAACCAATAAATAGATAAAATTACAATCGTAAATAAACAAACCGAGAAAATTAATAACGCATGTGAGTGCACGAAACAACAATTGAATGTGATTACGAACATGCAGAGTACCCAAGCCTGTACCACAACTTTTCTTTTTGAGATACTTGAACGTATCTCGAGAAGCTCTCAATGTTTGAGATACGTAAACGTATCTCAAGAAGCTCTCAATGTTTGAGATACGTGATCGTATCTCGAGAAGCTACCAATGTTTGAGATACGTGAACGTATCTCAAGAATTTCTCAATGTTTGAGATACGTGATCGTATCTCAAGAAGCTCTCAATGTTTGAGATGTGTGAAAGTATCTCTAGAAGCTCTCAATGCTTGAGATACGTTCTCGTATCTCAAACATTATCAGAGTCTCCCCTTTGGTGTGCAAGTAACTGGCAAGTCATTAGGAACATTGACGCAGTTTGTGTCGTGAGTGACAGGATCTGGTACAATGCGTCTGATACTGCGACTAACAATACGCCTGAATATACGCCTGATAATACGCTAGAAATTACGTCGGAAAATACGTCTGATAATACGCTAGAATTTACGTCGGAAAATACGCTAGAAATTACGTCGGAAAATACGCCTGATAATACGCACGCCTGGAATTACGCCGAACAATACGCCTGGAATTACGCCGAACAATACGCCTGGAATTACGCCTGGAATTACGCCGAACAATACGCCTGGAATTACGCCTAATTTCACTCACCTTCTCCGCTCAGTCGCTCGCCCGCATGGTTCGCATTAAATCGATTGTAGCTCACTGAATCATACAAGACTTCCTTTTAGAAAGTATATAAACTATTTTCAATTCTGCAGAATGTTAATTCCTACAGTAATTAATAAATATTTATTGCGTGATTACAACAGCGTCTCGATGAATCGCGTTTGAAATGTCAACAAAAGAAGACCACGACATACAACCTCACCTCACAACAGCCAGCGCGGCACTGAAGACAAACTGCCTCAATGAGCCCTCACCTGAAGCCCTCACCTGGCTTCCGATACCTCAGCCACTTAACTGGCTGACTGGCTTACTATACCTCAGCCACTTACTGGCTGACTGGCTTATTATACCTCTGCCGCTTACTGGCTGACTGGCTTACTATACCTCAGCCGCTTACTGGCTGACTGGCTTACTATACCTCAGCCACTTACTGGCTGACTGGCTTATTTTACCTCAGCCGCTTACTGGCTGACTGGCTTACTATATCTCAGCCACTTCCTGGTTGACTGGCTTACTGGCTTACTATACCTCAGCCACTTCCTGGCTGACTGGCTTACTATATCTCAGCCACTTACTGGCTGACTGACTTACTATACCTCAGCCACTTCCTGGCTGACTGGCTTACTATACCTCAGCCACTTCCTGGCTGACTGGCTTACTTTACCTCAGCCACTTACTGGCTGACTGGCTTACTATACCTCAGCCACTTACTGGCTGACTGGCTTCCGATACCTCAGCCACTTACTGGATGACTGGCTTCTGATATTTCAGCCGTTTCAAAAAGTCAACAATAGTTTTTAACAAATTTTTTCTTCATTAATGGAACAGATGAGGTTTGCCACGCTCTGCACGAATAAATTCTTTTATACACTGAAAAGATTGTTCTATTGTTCAGATTGTTTGTCATGGATAGGCTGAATGTAATGGCACTTGTATCATGAGTCTGGACCACGTAACGCTTATTTGGCTGCTCTACTTCTAACGTTTAATATCAAAGTCCTGGCAATACGTGTGGCTAAACGTGTTCTGCTTCCTGATGAGCTGAAGCGTGCGAAGGTTTTCTTTCGCAATGTTTCGCCGCTAATTAATACCAAAATTTTATTTCAGGTGATGCCAAAAATAAATTTGATGCAGTATATAAAAATTTTGACTCCATTCTATATGTGATCTAGAGATTCTACATGTAGAATCTAGAGTCCATAGAGTGATCTAGAGTCCATTCTACATGTGATCCATTCTACACCGAGATGTGACCGTGAAGTCACGGTGGAAGTATTGCAGATTTATTTCTATCCAGCCTAGTTCTAAAATCTAAACTAACCTAACTCTACCAAACCTAACTTTACCGAACCTAATGAGTGAATCCATCACGAGTTTGTTTTAGGGGCAAATAACAACGAGCTTCAGAGTTTATATCAATTAGGTGAGAAATAATAAGCTGGCCACACAATATTTTATACTTCATCAGATTTTGAGAAGACACAGCAAATTGACGGGGAGTAAACTGCGTTATTTCGTCGACCAGACGACGGACGGGCGCTGAGGTTTGCCGTAATTACGAATCACAGATGGTTATCTTTCTTCTTAATAATATCGTATATTTTGAGAGTAAACATGACCTATTACCATGAGGTGCTATAATATTATACGAGGTGCCGTAATATTATAAGAGGCACTATAATCTAAAGTGAGGCGCAATAATGGCAGGTGATGCGCCTAAATATTCGGTTACTGAATTCGATGGAACTTTGTTTCATTTTTTCAAATATTTTTTTTCTCCATCGTAGATGCCTACCCCTTTCTTATGACAATGTTATCAGGCATGTGGGCTTATTTAGCTCTTTATACCCTTCCTAGTTTCCGCTCAAAGGTCCCCTCTTAGCTTCCCCAACTATAGTAAATAGTAATCCCCTAGTAACCCCTAAGCCCTCACTAGTGTCCTGCTTTCCCTCAGGCGTCGCGTGAAGTTCCCCTCG